GAGTCCGCGTGCGCGCGTCGCTCATTCGACTTGTGTAAACTGCCTTGAAACTCGATTTACCTGAGATAAGTTAGAAACGTCCTAGAAATGTACTATAAATTTGCCGTAAATGGCAATTTCAGGACCATCAAAAGTTTTCCTTGCCCGGACCTTTCCTCATTGCAAACATGAGGCGGAAATGATTTCTACATATGTTCTTTCAGATGTCCTGAAATGCGCCACAAAGTCTCCTGAAACATGAACTCTTTGCTGTACTGAAATGTAGCCATATTGAGTCATTTCAGGTTCATTTCAGGCTACACAAAATTTATCATTTTCCTGCACCGCAAATGGCTACGAAAGTGGTAGCAAATCTATCATTTTGGGACACCAGAAAGCCCCGGTTAAGTCTTCGAAAATGAAACAGTTTTGATGGCTTGACCAGGACATTTCAGGTGATCTGAAACCAGCTCATGCCCGTAGTGTTACAGTGGGGTAGCATCAGTGCTTCCCGAGACAGAAGTTCCGCGACAAATAGTCATTAATCCTCAGACCGATCACTCAGCGCTCCGACGATATAGGTTATTAATCGCCAGGCAAGCCTTGGCGGTGTGAATTCTCTACTTTGTGCTATGCTACAGGTAATGCGTTTGTGTGTGGACATGCTAGCTGTCGTTGTCATTGCCATGATTCGTCTAAGCCCTGAAGTCCGTAAAACTTCATCAAAAAGCTGTCCATGCATGCTGTACATCACGGACGTGCACAAGAGTCACCTGGCCTGATCCCTGCCATCGTCAATGAAACGGTAGCGGCGCTTGTGCGCAACCTCAGTGTCCGAGACACAATCGCCTGCGACAGCCCTGCCTCTCGCCAGTGAGCCCGCCTCCAGGCCACTGAGGCTGCTCTGCGTCCTCTCCTCTAGTGGCTCCTCACCCTCGCTAATCGGCTGGCGGATCTCGACGACCTTGCGTGCGGACGACGAGCGCCGCGGTTGCGGAGTGGGCATTGCGGCATAATATGGTGCGCTGTAGGGTTGCGTGCGGTTGGTGCTGCGTTCAGAGAGAATCGGAGAACGCGAGGAAGGGGAAGCGGACAATAATGAATAAGAGTAGTACGACGAGGCGCTGCTCGAAGACGCGTCTGAGCGGGTGGCGAACGAGGACATGCTCGAGCGTCGCGGAGAAGAGTCGGCTGAGGTGTCGTGCAGCGGGTGCATCGCCTTATTGAAGTAGGAGACAAACGAGCGGTGTCGCTGGTGGCCCATAGGCGGAGTCTCAGGTGGAGAAGGTAGTGGCGGGGAAGCAAGTTCTGGAGTGTTGGGGAAATATGCTAGAGCGTATTAGGTCAAATAGAGAACTGTAGGCCATAGCTGAGCTGCACATACCGCGACCACTCCTCTTAGCCTTCCGCTTGAAGGGATTGACAAACTTGCTCTCCAATACTACGCTGTCGCTCGACATCCTGTTGTAAGGCAAGCGTCTACGCGCGGTGGCTGACTCCTCGCCGTCCGATCTTATATCCGGGAGCAGCTTGCGGACAGGAGACAGACTGCGCGTCCTCGACCTGGCAGATTTCTCGCCCGCACTGCTCGGAAATTTGTTCTTGCGACGGAAGATGCTCGTCACTCGTTGCGGAAGCGACGTCTTTTTCGACGACTCCGCAGATGATATCGCAGCTTCTGGGCTTACTGCTGGGGTTCGTGCCTCGGTCTCGAAATCAGAAAGGGCAGATTCTGTGAGCTCCTCCTGCGACTCCTCTATAATGGGTGGGCCGAGAGTGGGCTTCACTGCCAGATCTGGGCGGTCAGGACGAGCGACGATGGTGATTGCCCCAAAAACTGGAGGCACGACGGCAATGGCAGTCGGTACAGAACGACGCCCAATGCTGCGTCGCGGCACGCCTGCGTCGTGATCGAGAGCAATGTGGTAGTTTCCATCCTTCGGAACCGTCACAGTAGCTCGTGCTGATGGAGGCAGAGGGCTCTGTGGGCCTCCACGAATGAAGACGGGGGTCTTGATTTGGGCGCGAGCGGCCATGGGTGGAAGCTTGCGTCTCGTGAATGGCATAATGACGGCTATACATAGAGCAACAACACTCTGGAAAAGCACTGCGTGAATAACGTATATATGCTTTTATTCCTTGCGACGCACCATTGCGAACCACACTGAGCTTGAAGCCACTGTTACGAGTTGCACAAAAGTGGTGGTCATTACAATCCGTGGAGATCTTTCGTGAAGGCTCATGGGCGAACGTTGAGACGGGAGTTGTGCGATTATAGTGGCTGGGTGTTAGACAGAGTTTGGCCTCCAGGCCTTGTATTTGCGAGTTTTGTGTCGGTGGAACGACGGATAGCGGAATTATCGTCGACCAGACCAGATCTCAACGTTTCATCGTCAGCCGTCAGCGGGAGCTGCGGCAAGCGTCGGTATAGGCTAAGCGGCTCGCTCGTCGATCTCGTCGGCGGTCCTGTTCGCTAGAAGCCACTTTCAGAGTGAGCAGAGCAGACGTGAAGGTGGTCGTCCAGGTCCGCGGGGTGGTGGTTACGCCTTGGAACAGCAGTGATAGGCTAGACAAGGCTTTTGCAGAGGCTGTTAGGCTCGCAAAAGCCCGACAAGGGACGCCTGGTGCTTTTGTAGACAGCGGAGTGCGAGCGGACAGACGAAACCCGAGGATAATGGTCTCATTGTTTTGCACCAGCACCCGTTTGGGAGAATCGAACCACCTTCAAACGCAGTCGTCCGTTTCGCCCAATCCGGATGCTGTGCGTCTACTCGAATCCGAGCTGGGTCGGCTCCAGGAGACGGCTGGGACGCTCTGTGACGGGCCTCGTTGCAATGCCAGGGTCGAGGAGAATATGGATACAAGTCTGAAGGAGCTATGAAACATTAGGCACCACCGAGGGTATTGTTTCCGCCCTCCTCTCTGATCACCGGTTACTCCGGGTACTCTTATGTAGACAGCATCAAGCGCATCAAGCGCATTACCCTGGAGACCGACTGGTCCCGCGTCTCTCAAATTCATTGAGCAACCTAAAAGTACACTCGGCTCGTTCTGCTCACAAGCCCAAAAATCGCCTTTCGCTAGTTTTTGAGACGCATCGATCTTGCTATGAAACGAGAGAATTGCACCCCTGCTCCAAAATTCCCAGTCGAAAGCCGAGTCGCCAAACGTCACAGTCTCCGAACCACACATCCGGGCTCTGTATTAATGGAACATCGGGTTCGCGATCGTTCCTCTGGTGTTTGAACACACATTAGTCCCCGTCTACCATCACCATGACACGCAATGCACAAGTCTCGGAGGCCCCGCTCCCAGACACAAGAAATAGACCTGATTAGGTGCACTTTATTCATCCGGTAGGCTAACACACGATCCAAAGACCTCGCTACCTTCCTGGACCTTACAACGGATAGGGGTGAAGAACTCTCCATGTTTAGGTCGAGACGATATAGGAATGTCAATATTGTCAATGGCGTGCCTCTATCTTAGAATGCTGTGCGCTGTATCTTAATCAGAGCGCACCGCCGGAGCTTTTTGGGTCTACAAGAACTGTTGACGGGGGTATAGGCCTTCCCACAGCGAGCTTGTTCAGCTCGACTCATAATCCATAGGGCGGTAACATCCAGCTTCTCTCTGCTGGCTTTTTACAGCTAATAGCTACGCGTGAGAGTGCCGTACCACTGCACCTTGCTTACGCCACAGTAGCTTGCGCAGAGCCCAACAAACGGCCGACAGCCTGGGTCCGGAAACATCACATGCCGTATCCCTTAAGCTCGACAACATCTAGCTCTACATCATATGAAGCTGCAGTAAACGGCCTTCCCGAGAGTATTGCTTGCCTATGTCGAGACGTGAGGCCAAATCGTGCGGCAGGACGACGAAGGCTGGTAAATAATATGATGGAATACCTCAGCGGCCATGTCCTGTGCCGTGACATACACAGACACCATTAGCTGCGTGACTCCACGCCGTAAGCCTCCCGAATTAATTCACTTCTCTTAGAGAGCGAGCTCACCATTAGCGGCTCCACTCACCCCTCTCTCTGCCTTGCGGCAGCAGCTAGCTGCGCGTAGTTCATCGTTGGAGGGGAGACCCGGGGAGAACTTAGAACTCGAAGTGCGCTGGCACAGATGACCTAGTAGGCCTATTCTTCCTAGTCAATGCACGATTTATGCAGCAAGGGAGTGAGTTTTCCATTCACGAGAGCGTAGGAGAGCTCTCAGTAAACTTAAACTCGGCCGCATAAAGTCAAGCTAGATGCAGAGCCACGTTAATGGAGCTCGTACGTGGCTTTGTGGTCGTCGAATGGTGCCACAAATGATGAGGTCTTGGTACTAGATCTTGGTACTTGTCATTGGTGGAGCAGCAAAGTAGATAACCTCCATAATTTCTCCCACTTTGGTTTCCGCTGTTTCAAGCCCTAGCCAAACAGACTAGTGGTGATGCTGTACGCCACGGTGTAGTAAAGGCTCGGCTCCGAAACATCCATGACGGCATCAGACGGGACTGATGCGCCATCCCCGGAACGACTGTGCCCGAGAATGGGTTAACTTTCCTTTCTCTTCGACCATCCTCTCATTACGCAATGGCCCCTCGGCGGCGTATCAGACGTGGGTCACCAGCAGGTAGTGAAGTGAGTACTTTTCGACAGCAAAGTCTGTCGACAGAGCTGAGAAGCGGCAGAGCGACACGGCGGAACCACAGCTGGTATCTCATCCGGGAAACGTGGGCTTACTTGCCCTCCCACCTGAACTTCTGGAAGACATTCTCGTGTTGCTCGCCGAGTTAGGGCACCCAAAAACCATTTCAGCTTTGGCCAAGACATGCCGGACACTGAGGCAGCTCATATACGCCCCTCAAGACAAGTTCCTATGGCGTCGGATGCTCCTCGCGACCTTCGACGATCCGAGGAGCATTCAAGTCGGTACGTCATGCTATATCACAATCAATCTATCTATTCTATATTTTGTTTCCTACAGAACCTGGCTTCAACTGGGCCTCAGACTATCAGGCGCGGGTCGAGGCAACTCTTTTCATCGAGTATCGCCGTAGGTCCGCTGGCAAACAAACAAGCATCGAAGTTCGCCGGTATTCCCCTCGAAGTTCAACGAAAGTGGCCTCAGCCACTTCTAGAGCGAAGCGGCGAGCTAGCCACTCTTCCGATGCTGTCGCGACCTCGGGAGCGGACTACACGGTGGCTTTGCAAACTTTACTATCCATTCTTGACACTTCCTGTCCCGTCAGCAAGCCCACTCGCGATTCTGAGAAGCAGCCATGGGAAAACCCAAACCTTATCGCACTGTCCCTGCGCGAAGCATCCGTCCGCGCCCCGCCATTCCCTCCTTACCTTACGACGGTTCTGCCGGAAGTGCTAGATGCGGCATCTACCACCGCCACAGACGGGAAGTCGGACGCCGGCTCTGTAGATCTCCCACCCATTGTCCGTCCTAGTAAGAACTTGGCCTACATCAAGCGGCTTCTTTCATCCGATGTCGTCCCTGATTTTGTATCGTATCTCACCACGCCAGCCACCAGCGAGCGCCGCTCGCCGTGGCAGTCTACGCCCGAGGCCCGAGCTCTCAATCGGCTCGTTTCCACTTTCGGTATCTCTGCGTTCCTGCAGACGCCACGCCGCGACTGGACTCGTGGTCGCCAAGAAGATGAAAATGATACCGTCCATCGTAAAGCCATATACCCGAACGCCGATCAGAACACCGCACTGGCCGAGCTATTCAATAGCATCCGGCATGCGTCCCAGAAAAAGGTCTACGATATGAATTATCTCAGCCGCAAGCGGGCGTGGGGTCCTTTCCTCCGAGTTCACTCAGACAAGAGCGAGAGGCAGGACGCGATGAGCGCGTCATCATCGGACGATGAAGACGGAGAGTACCATCACATTCCGGAGCAGACGCCGTCGGATTCCGAGGCTTCCCAGTCAGACTCTGAAGAAGACGGGGAGGACGAGGAGAACCAGGATTACGTCCCTCCGCACCAACGCAATACAGAGCCAAAACCCCTCCCGCAACCTGAGGACTTGCAGGCGGACTGGGAGCACCTCGCCGCCATTCGCATCGTTGTTCAGGCGAAGCTGGAAGAAAAACTCAATATGCTCCAGACCGACGCCGGACAGTGGTTCGAGCCTGGGCAGGTCGAAGAGATCCTCAAGACACTGCTAGGGTGGGAAAATGTGCGGTCTTGCGTCTGGACTGGTGCTCAAGCAAAGAGGAAAACTAAGCAAGAAGAAGGCTCGAACTCTCAGCGGCAGGCAACCAAGATTTCCAATAGTACTGGCATTTCCGGCTCATCTGGTCAAGCGGCTTCGTTGCTCAGGTCGCCGAGCGAGCCGCTAACAGAATGGGATTGGGCAGGTGTGGAAGGGGTTTGGCGGTGAGGACCCTTCCCTTAAACGATACATTGTTAGCGGGCTGACCTGCTCATCTGTAGACGATGCGTCTGTTGGTTGGACTACCATGATCTAATATGTATGTTCTAACTCTGTTCTCACCCGATGTGTCCTGACGCTAACAAATCCTCAGATAACAACGTAAACGCATTTTTATTCTCTTCACAGCCAGACTAATCACGACACGCCCAGTGGCGCGGGTTTCAGTCTATGGATGATCTCGAAGAAGCAACAATTACAGTACCACTTGCGCTCCACATAACCGGCTTCTCTCCATCCACAATCCCAGAGTATAAAGACTTCCCGACCATTCACTTCGACTCAAGGCGATACCCTACTATTCACATGGAAGGCACGATGGGAGGTGCTGAATGGGCTTACAACGGCGGCGCGCAGGAAGACGTTCGCCATATCAAGGGCTCGGTCAGAGTGTGCAGCGACGGCAGCGTGTGGTGGTCAATGGTATGTTGTGCCCGCCTGCTGGACTTACTGGCATCACTAAAGCCTACCCTCAGCTCTCTTCTGTGCAAGGCTCACCAACGGAATGGGAGTGGTCGTCAGAAGGTATTCAAATCGGTGCAGCGCTGGGCACTGGAGGGCCCATCGGAGTGCGCTCTGGGTGCGGCGTCCTTGGCCTTTGGACGGGTTGGGAGCACGAGGCTGAAGATCCGATCGGCGCGTGGTGGCAATGGAAAGTCGCGTAGGACACAGAGGATCCGTGGATTTATGACGGAGTATCAGATGAGTTATTGTAAGTGATACATGTACCATAGCTGCTGCGTTATGCGAAGGAACGGTGAAAAGCCCGTGCATTATTACATTCGCTGTGTAGTCGGCTCTAACGATGTAGCGACGAGCGCGAAGCAGTCACTTCAGCACAAACAACAAGACGAGAGACACAGTGAGGCCACGCACTGGTTGGGTCAGATGAGAGCAGCCGAAAGCTGTCTCCCTCGGTCTTCCACTCTTCGAGCAGCCCGAGCAGGTGGTCCCACTGCTCCCTGCGAAGCTGCTCGTCCACCGCAAGCTCAGGATCCTGAGAGGGGTCAGGGACGGCGCCAGATGACGAGGACGGCACGGGCGGTGGCACATCGAGGTCGACGCCGTAGTGCTCGGCCAGTCGAGCGCGCAGCTCGTTGACGGTCCCGGTCCCAGCCATGCAGCGCTCGTCCTTCGTGTTGGCATCGACGATCCAGCCCTTGAGCACCGCGATGTGGCTTGGAGGGTCCGGCATTTTGTGCTCACAACACTGACAAATAAAACTGTGCAGCAGGACTTCATCTTTCGGGTACACAGCGCGCAGGAGGCAGACAGGGGGGGCAAAAACCAAACCAAACCAAAACAAAAGGCAATAACCGCCCCAAGACGCGTTTTTGGACAGAGAACAGGCGGCGGCCGGGCACATCCTCACTCAGAAAGCGGTCGATGCGGTCACTTGAAAGTCTGCTAGGCTGCTCGAGCCACGCTGAAGGTGGAGGGGCAAAGGGAACCGTAGGGGCGACGGCCCTCCTCCTCAGGAGATGCGGTCAGGCGCCGCCCGCGAGCGAATGTGGTTGGCCCTTACAATGTGGCGTCCGCCACGGATTACCACATTCATGCAGTGACACTACCAAAGCTAGTCAGCTAATCCAGAATGGCATTGAAGGTATCTGAAGCGCGAAAGTCAGTAACAAAGAACGGGTGTGTTTGTAGTGTATCAGAGTCCGTGCGCCTTGCACACAACGGTGCCGTCATAGAGCGTCCGATGTAGGTATAGGAATAAAAAGAAAAAAAAGAAAAGCCACCACTTCTCCATTACCCTGTTCTCTCCTCCCCCCACCTATAGCCTCACATCACATTCCAAACTTGCCGAGAAAAAACGATGGAGGAGTTG